CATCCAAATTAACTCTCTTCACATAAATCTTCTTTGTAGAGTAAATCTTAGATTAAATAAATATGAACCAAATCTTCCTTCAAATCAAATCTCTTTGATTAAATAAAATCTAAATCTTTTAATTAAATCATATCATCCATATTCATGATTCAATAAAATCTTTTCCAAAATGATTTGGATTAACAAACTTCTTCAAACAACAAATTTATGAATCTTCTGAAGGAATTAACAACAAAACAAATATGAAGATAATTAGAATATAATCCTTACGCCAAGATGTCACACAACATGTGTTGAACATATTGTTTAAGCAGTTGCTGTCAACCAAATATTTTTGTCAAACACTTTAGCATAAACTTGGACTAAATAAAACTTCTTTGAAGCAAACACAATCACGATCAGATTGCTTCATGAAATCTAGCTAACAGACTGAGGCCAAATACTGGAACACATGTTGGAGCATCTTGTTCCACATGTTGCCTCTACATAAAATACATCTTGTACATATGTTGTTTTACCTAATGCAGCCAATCAAAAGGAACACAATATCTCCCTTTGGAAAATTTTGGCTAAAACAACTTACAAGATGTGATCTTCAAGAAGTAGCACAAGTAGCACACCGTATCACACATCAAAACCAATAGAGAAAACATCGGTAGCAACAAAAGTAAGGTGGTTGCTACACATCAAGAGATTGTATCAACTCCAAACACAAAACATTATGATGGGTCATATTGTCCCACATGATCATTATTCATCTTCTTGCCACATTTTAGCAAAGGTATGGAAAAAACCACAAGATTTAGGATCCAGAACAAGAGCTTTACCAACCAGACCAGCATACATATTCATTTAAAAGACCTTAATTTAGGAATATGTACCATATAATCAGACCATGGGAGCATATACAACAAGGAACATCAAACTAGCAGTAGCAGCAACAACAAGTTGAGGTTAAAAAGTTCCAACATTTCATCATCAAAAACCAGATCATATTCATCAATTGGCACACAGATGTTGGACATAATGTCTGATACATGTTAACCAACAAGCAACCTATAATTGTAACTCAACAACCCATGAGGAAAATCATCTTTCTTAACCTTAATCTCCTTCATCAACCTAGGACAACAAACTCCAACATTCAGCAATATCTTCAACAACTGAGCATCACTATGAAGCTCCATAAAATCATTATACTTCAGTGCTTCAACAAAAAGTTATTTTTCATCCTCATTTGTAGTTTCTTCTTCTTCACATCTTCCTTTTCCATGGTCATAATCTTGTCAATAGAGGGAACCTTGCTTATGCTCAATTAATTAATAATTGAGGGTGAAAACGTCACACACTTTCCTCTAGCATACACCTTTTTAAACTCCTTCTTCATAATGAATTTCTTGACAAGCTTTTCATAGGAAGGATCAACATTATTTGCAATCTTTATTAGCCCAACAACTTCCATGATTTATTTACAATCAATAGCTTCTTTACCTAGATCTCTCTCAATTGCAATTCTTTGTTTAGAAATATATTTTCACTTCTGAACACTTGTTTCATAATGGAATGACACATTATCCATGTGAGCATATGAGACATTCACAAGAATTCTCTTCCCACCAACCTTTCTCCTTATGATGGACACAATGTCCAGGACATCTTCTTTATCATATGTTTTAGAGTCACTTATTTGAACAAGCTTTCTATTCACTTCAGAATTAACAAGGGCAACTAGTTCATCCTTCCTTTGAGTAGGAAACTCAGTCACAAACATGTCATACATGTTGTCTGAGACATCCTGGTTAACATCTTCATTACCATATTTGATAACATCTTTGAACATTTGGTTACTCCACAACACCTGAGTGAAACTACTTCCAACATATGCACTTTGGAAATCAAATGTGTAGTCCTTCACTTGCTTCACTTGAAAATCAGGAAATTACGTAACATTTTCTAACATGCTTAACTCAAATTTAGATTGCATTTGTTGAACCAAATGCTCTAACATCTTAACTGAAATCCTGCATAACATAATGTCTTCAATATGAATGTAAACTATTATCAAATTCTCACTGTCTTCGATATTAACACCCTTCATGTTGTTGATATCAGTAGTGTTGCACCCCGAATTTCGCCTCTAATTTTCTAGTTGCATTATCATATCATATTTTGTTATTTGGTCACAATTATCAATAAACATATTCATTCATCACATTTTGCATCATTAATCGTATTTAAGTGGATTAAAAGTCAGTTTAAATCGACATTTACATCATTTTATAGTTAAAAATACCTGATATTTCACTTCATGCATTTTTATCTCTTTATCCGCTTCATGCATTGCTCCAAGTTGTTTATATGTCAATAATATTGATATTTCAGGTTTATGGACATATTGTTAAAAGTGATTTGACATTGTGCGAAAAATTAGCAAGAAAATATTTCAAATTTTCATCTTTCACTGAATGTTTTATGAATCTACGTTTCGCACAGATCATGTCAGTATGCTCGTTTTATTTTTTCGATACATTTTATAGTCTTTTTTTGACTTTTAACGTTTGTGCAACTGCGTATTTTTATTCTCATTTTATTTCGATTATGATCTTTTGAGATTTTTTTATTAATCTTTGAGATTTATAGTTTATTTTAATATGTTTATTTTATTTTTTCGGTTAATTAAATATCTATTTTTTAATCGTTATTTATTATTTTAAATGTCTTTTTTTTAATAATAAAAATTAAAACAAAAATATTTTAAGTGTATTTATTTCTGTTCTTTTAGATTTTTAGCTTAATCTTATTCAAAAGGGCTTTTTGGCCATTGAGAAAAATTGCTACACCTAAGTTTGTGTGTATTTAAGTGTGCATAAAGATTGAAAGGGGGGAGGCAGATAAAAACACAACGAAAAACCAGAGAAACCATTTCTCATTTCCAGCCTTCCAACTTCTTCAATTCACCTTCATTATTCTAATTTTCATCACCTTCAATCCGATTAATCAAACGTTTATCTTATATTTCATCTGTTTCATTTAGCTCTGGTATATAGTTTTAACTCATTCGAACTTCATTTTTATTTCACAATACATTTGGATAGTTTCTCTTTGCTCTTGGTTTTGTCTGTGTATTTCATCTGATGCAGAGATTCTTATTCGATACTTGGAGTTCTCATCTGATGCTTTATGTGACACCTGTCGCTTATTTGATACCTTGAGTTTATCTAACGCACATTCTGCTTGTGATTTAGTCTCACCTGCTGTGATTTATTCTCACTTGATGCATTCTCTGCTCATGATTTATTTTCACATGATGCATTCTCTGCTCGTGATATATTTTCACCTGATGCCTGGTACATTATTGGTTTATTCTCTGCTTGTGGTTAATCCAAAGGGATGAGAACGCTGTATTGGCTTCTTTATTTCAAGTATTGGTTTCTTGTTTGGTCAGACCTTTCTTACCTATCTTTTACTTTCTTGTACATAGGATGTTCTCTTCATCTCCTTCTCATTATTCAATTTTCAAAACATTCTCATCTTTTTCAAAACCTTCTTGTTTTCAATGAACTTGAACCTCCTTCATAATAAACCTTGACCTCGTCAAGTGACTTTTCAAACTTATTTTTTTCTTAATCAAAACTCAAAACACTTAACAAAAAAAGATGTGAATCGTATGCAGTTGAGTCTTATGGAGACTAGTGAGGCGGTGCATTTCGAACCTTGCTCTTTCTTCCATTCCCGGACTTTATTATGATTTAATTCGAAAACCCTTTTTCAAACTAACAAAATACTTTAACTCATTCAAAAAAAATTGTGCCCTCGTACACCTTTTCTCATTTAAAATCTTTTTCAAGATTATACATGATTCATTTATAGTCAATATGTCATCTCCATATCCCCATGATTATAAAGATGTCGACTTCTCCACTTGATTACTAGAGGTGTGTCCAAACCCTCCCTCATGTTGGTGTGTTGTCCCTTTTTTTCATACTTTGTGGATGATTAGGCGAGTCTTCTCCCTAAAAATTATGACTTGTCTCTTCATTTAAAATAAATCAACACATCAAGTTTTGTTCTTTTTTAGAGGAACTATAAGTGCCCTGATCCCTCATTGCACTAAGAGGATACGTAGGCACAAAGGTTTTCCACCGCGACAGGTGCAATAATAAAAAAACATTTTTTTCTTTGTAAATATTCATTCATTCATTTCCTTTAAGCAAGTTCAAGCTTTAGATAACACACTCTTTGATTAGAACAGACATAGTGGATCCTATAAAGTATCGTAAATGTTTAGGGTGTTAATATCTTCCATTTGCATAACCGACCCCCGTACCTTGATCTCTATTTCATTTTGGATTTTATTCGCTCTTTTCTCATTACCCTTTAGAAACAATAAAGTGTGGTAGCGACTTTCACTGTATGAGTTAAGTTAATTAATGGTTTAGTCTCAAATTTTTACCGCTACATTTCACTACGTGCAATAAGTAGTAGCATTCATACTGATTTCCACATAATCATCCTTCTTAATAACACAATCCTTGTCAGTGACATAGTTATTAACATCCTGATTGACTTCCACATTCAAGTACCTATTGAGGAAGACACTTTTCACATCTATCTAGTAAAGTTTGAACTTCAGAATACATGACATACTTGATATCAATCTGATGGCTCCAAGATGGTAAATAGGAGAAAAAGTTTTACCATCATGAAAATCTCCATCTTCTTCAATAGACAACATGATGTTTCTTGATTTGTCAAAACAACTTGCTCCACATCGAGACCAATGAGATTAAAAAATTCATCTTCACGGGGAATTATTTCAGTTTGAACATCATCTATAGATTGTGTGCTATTGGTAAACACTTTACATACTTTGCTATTAATAGCACAAGCCATAAAAATTCTTTCATCACTACTTACCACATCTTTATGTAATGTCTCAACATTTTTCTCCATATCTTCTACTATATGATCCTTTTTTTCCTTTTGATGCAATTTTTTTTCTAATCATGGTTATTAACAACATCACTGTGGGTTAAAATGGTATCAACCTCAACATCTTCATGGATATGATCATTATCACTCACAAAATTATTCTCAGGGGTCACATCACCATTCTCTTTATGAATTTGAGACTCTATCAACATGCCAGACAAGATGTTTGGCACATATTTATCAACATTTGGTTTATGAGTCATCTCACCAAAAGACTTTTGAATGACATGATGACCTCTTATAGGTCCAAACATGAGTGTAACATCAATCACATTTCCACCAGCAGCTAGATCAAACTCATCAACATGTAGAATATTTGTGGAGAGCAATATTTATAACATACATCTTATAACCAAGATTCAACTGACTAAGAGGAACACCAATATCAGCTTCACCAAACACAATATCATGTTTTTGATTAATCAAAACTCTATAAATATGAGAAGGAACTCCAATAGGAAGAATTATGTCATAATCACTATTCTTCTTTAGCTTCTTCGTTTGAACCAATGTTGGTTGTTCAATGTTGGGAGGACCTCCAACCTGACCATCAATCTTCCCTTCAATGACAACTTCTTGCTTAAGTCTCATAAATTCCATATGTGGTAATTCATAAGCATGAGTAACATGTTGAAATATCTTGTATGCCATGTTAGTTTGATTCTCCAGTTGACAAACTTCATAAATATTTACTTCTTCAATTTTGAGATCAGTACACATATGACAACTTTCTCTGCAACAACCCCCAAGCTTTTTATACCATGGCCTAGTTTCAGTTTCTAACATGTCTTCCATGATGTATGAAACATGATCTTAAACATTTTTCTCTATAATGGAAGCAACCATCTTCATCTTAAAAAATTTATTTCTCCTATGACTATCACACAATGTAACATGATTTCTTTCCCCGTCAACTTTCTATTGCAGCTACTTTCAAAATAATAATCTTCACAAGAGAATACCTTGTGGGAAGAACAATCAATATGAACAATAATATTAGGATTGTCATGCCAAACTTGTTGATGATTCCTTTGAGACTTCAGATTCCATTGGAGATACATATGTTGATGATGTGGTTGCCTACCATATAACTTATAATAGTACAAGGAAATGAAGGAGACAAGATTAATGCAATGGTAATCATGTTTGACTAAATTTTGAGACATGTTACCTGACATTCTGCATTCTATATTCTGAATAGGAGTAATACACATTTTCTTTGAATTTGATGGCTCACCAGTATGTATAACCTATTTCATGGTCACAACATTATTTGCTTTATTAGATTCGCCTTTTTCATCATTAGTGACATTGAATATTCTTCTTTATTTCCTTGGAAAACTTGAGCATTCAACTTGAATATGTCCAAAATATTCACATTTAAGTCATTGGATCCAGTTGAGATTTGGTCTTTCACCACCTTTTCTTTTATGATGAAAATTACACCTATTGGAATTATGCTAATGATTGTCTTGAACATTTGAAGAGACATTATTCCCAGATCTCATATCTAGTTTTCTCATGACTTTACTAAAGACCTTAGCAAGCCTGAGATTTTCTTCAGTACCATAATCAACTTAGTCTTCACAATCTTCATAATTGTCAACAATCTTTGGAGGATTCTTAGCATCATAAGGATTATTTGGTTGATGAATAACTCCTCATTCACTCAAATTCTCCATCTTGAACAAAATAAGAACCCTAGAACTCACCCAAACAAAATAGGGTTCCTGCTCTGATGCCAATTGAAATTTTGTTCTCAGGAGAATAGGTGTTGGATGAGATATCTAGGACAATATGTATAACTGGTTTAGGATAGATGACAAATTATGGGGATAAATGTCAAAAACAATGTCTGGGACATTGTATACCAGAACAAAAACCAGTTTGCAAGCAAGATATGATAGATTTAACTTATACGTGATGATGGAGCAGAAAAGCAATAAAGACTAGAATAATTATTTACCTAGTTTTGTGCAAACTACACCTACACCAGGGGGCATCTAACCAAAGAAAGGAAAATTACTACTTTGAATTAGTACATTAAGTATTATAGGAACAACAACCCCATGTTGTTCAAAGACTCTTCCTAATAATAGTGACTTTTTATCTAGGACTCCCTATAGAACTATTTCACTCCCAATAGTCATGAGAACGAATGGACTTACTCTGAATTCTCCCAATTCAATGCCACTTTCCTAATACTACCCGTCATTCTACACCCCCTAAATATGAGAACACTCTCACTTTTACTCAAATACTCTCCCAAGTGTTTAGACAATTACAATATGATTGAAAAGATGAAACAATTATCCCATACAAATACTTTGTTCTGAAGCTTATAGAATTAGTATCTTGGAACAAATTTTTACAACTGAACTAACAAACTAAACTATATGTCTTAGGATATTAATTGAGGCTATAGAGTGGTGCACAATAATAATACAAACAAAGACTCGAAAGATAAACCCTAACACAAGGTATCTCTAATGCTTGCACACCTCAAATGTGAGGCATGAGTCTTCTTAAATAGAAATCCAATTCTTGGCTTTTCCAATGGGCATTAGCAGCTCTGATTTTGTCCAGAATTAGCTGATATAGTTGGACTTTATTTATTCCACAAAATTTTCCAACAAAAGATATAATTTGTTATCAATTAAAATTCAAATTTAAGTCTTCATTTAGATTTATTTGATCTTTAAACACATGTAAAAAAAATCGCACAACCATTGCTAAACAATAGCAACAAATCTGATTTAGATCCAATCAGAAAATTTGCACCTAACAACATCCATCATGGCCTACTGACAAGGGTCAGATGTATCATTGCACACATACTAGAACATCGTGTTCCACATGTTGCACCAAATAATCCAAATTAACTCTCTTCACATAAATCTTCTTTGTAGAGTAAATCTTAGATTAAATACATTTGAACCAAATTTTCCTTCAAAGAAAATCTAATAAAATCTTCTTTGACTATATTAAATTCAAATCTTTTAATTAAATCATATCATCCATATTCATAATTTAATAAAATATTTTCCAAAATGATTTGGATTAACAAACTTATTCCAACAACAAACTTATGCATCTTATGAAGGAATTAACAAAAAAATAATTCTAAAGGAAATATGAAGATAATCAGAATTGAACCCTTACACCAAGATGTCACATAACGTGTACTGAACATATTACTCAACCAGTTTCTTTCAACTAATTCTTTTGGTTAAGCACTTTAGCATAATATTGGACTGAACAAATCTTCTTATAAAAAAACACAATCACGTTCAAATTTCTTCATGAAATCTAGCTAACAGACTGAAGCCAGATGCTGGAACACATTCTAGAGCATCTTGTTCCACATGTTACTTCTGCGTAAAATACATCTTATACATATGTTTTTTTACCTAATGCAGTCAATCAAAAAGAACAACATTTTTAACATTAAAAATTGGATGAAACACATCATATAATTGTGGATATATGTGCTTGCATGTATAAAGTTGATATTCCTAAAGGAGATCCATCTAAACTTTTGATGACAAAAACAATGATTGAAGTCGGTGGCAATAGCTTTCAACTCTCTGATGATGGTGACCTAACTTGAAAAACATCTTATACTTCATCAACAGAAAAGGACTCAAGATAAAGTGCTTATATGATCGATGTATATAGAAAAAGTCTTGCGAGCCCCAGAATAATGAAAGAGAGGAAGTGTGGAAGCTCGTCAGGTCGTGTCTGTCTGAGTGACTAAAGTTTTATAAAAGTAAAGAAGTAATTTTTAAGTACGAAAGAAACTCACACACACTTCAAATCATTTCCAAACGTGTTTATATTGAAAATTATTTTCTAGGTCAAGTCAAGTGATTAAGAAGCTGGTCAATCTCTTTCTAAATTTTTTTGAACTAATCAATCGATCGGGGACTTAAGCCAATGGATTGAAAAAACTTTTCTAAGTCCGCCAATCGCTTGAAGCATTAAGTTAATCAAGGGAAAAACGTTTAGTCAAATGATTAAGATAAGATCCTAATGTTTTGCAACAACTTTATATCAAATATTTTCATGTTGGGTAAAGTAATCGATTAAAAATGACTAATCCAATCGATTAGAGCATTAGAGCGTTAAATTTAATTTATTTTTAAAAACTAAAGAAAAAAAGTTGAAATTGAATAATTTTAAAATAAATGATCAATTATGTGAATAGAGACAACAAAATCAATAAAATTAAGGATTTTAATTTTTTTCATTTGAAAAATTGTTAAAGACCTTCTTAGTTTTTATTTTTTCAATATTATGGTCTCATTGTTTTAAAAATAAAATAAAATAAAAATGAATAAATATATGATATTGAAAAGATAAACAAATATTTTATTACTTATTTTATACACACATCATAAAAATATTATATTATCCTTTTATCATTTCAAATATTACATAATTTAAAATAGAGAAAATAAAATATGGATCGTAAGTGTAAAATATTTTTACCTTGATAATCAATCAGTAACATATATTTTTCTAAATTACACTATTATTTTAAAACTATTTTGATGATATAATAAACTAATAATTTTTTATTAAACAACGATATAAAATTATTTAATATTATTAATATATATTTATTAAACTCTTTAAAATATATTATATAGAATTATAATAAAAGTCAAATGATATAATGTTTGTGATTAACAAATGATATAAATTTATATAAATTTATATTTAAAACTTAGAAGAAAAAAAAGTCAAAATTGAATAATTTAAAAATAAATGATCGACTGTGTGAATAGACATAGAGAGATTAATAAAATATAAGAATTATAATTTTTTTTTTTAATTTAGAAAATTGTGTAACACCTTTAACCTTTAACTTTTTTTTAATTTTTCTATCATTTATTTGATATACGTCATAATAAATTTAATATTATTATTTTATTATTTTATGTGTTTAATACTGATGTTATAAAACATATATTTTATTCAAATTATACAATTACTTTTGCATAACAAATTAAATATAGTTTCTTAATATAATATTAAATATTTTTTTTATAAAAGATAATTGATATTAAAATAAAATTGATACATAAAAAAGTGAGAGAATAGGCCAAAAACACACTCAAAAGTATTTAAATTTAAAGAGTCAAGCCTATCCTCTTTTTTTTTTTTTTTACATAATCACATCTAATCTCAAGAGGAAGAGAATCAAAAGGCGTGAAGGTAATAGATGTGCGGCCTAAATTAGTAAAAAAAAAATCCGCATAACTATTGTCTTTTCTACAAATGTGAGTAATTATAAAATTCATATCCAAAACAATTTTAATGCAGTTGAACCATCTATTTCTAAGTTGTCAAGGAACTTGATCAAGCTTCGCAACGGAGAAAGCATTAACTATCATCATTGAGTCAGATTCAATCCAAAGATTGTTCCAACCCCTATTCTTGGCCAATTCAATCCCACGCATGACACCATAAAATTCTGCAAAAAGAGATGAATTCCAAGAAAGAGGCTCGGTAAAAGCCAAGGAGAAATCGCTCGTGTTTCTATGAAAGATTCCTCCACATCTCAGAGAATTAGAGGTTTTCACAAAAGAACCGTCCACATTACGCTTCATCCAACTAAATGGTGGGGGACTCTAAATAATTTCTTTAATGAGAGGGGCCTTAGGAGGATTAATTTTTATTTGAAAATCCTTAAGGACTTCAAAGTCAAACAAGTTGTGTCTAAAGAAGTGGCCACAATTGGTACAACAAAGTTTCACATGTGCACCGATAGAAGGTTTAATAATGAGGCAGTTGGGCTTCTTATTGAAGTAACCGGCAACATTTCTAGCTTCCCAAATGCTGTTAATTACTTGAATGAAGACAATTTTAATAATGAATGCATCTTGAGGGTAGGAGGATTTAGAGTAAATAGTCCAAAAGTTATGAGAAACAAAGTGAACCTACAAATTAAGAATAGTAGACAGCTAATTCCAGAGCGAAGTAGCAAAAGATCAAGAGAAGAAAAGGTGCTCAATATTTTTAGCTTGTGTTGCAAAGAGAACATATGGAGATAACT